CAAGAAGAAAAGAAGTTTAATTGATAGTGACAAGGTTGATGGTGATGGAATGTTTTCCGTCGGTCATGGCAGTTCCCATAAAACGGGTATCATAAGACTCTATGATGACAAAGATTATAGGAAGTTTTGTTCTCAACTTTCTTCCAAGTCTGATCCGTACAAGCTTAATGAGATGTTGGTGATATTTCTTCGGAAGCGACCAACCTTGGTCGCTATTCCATTAAAAAAAAATTAAATTCTTGACATTAGCGACCCACTTTTGGTCGCTTATTTTTAAAAAAAAATTAAAATAGCGACCAACCTTGGTCTCCATTTTCCAGATTTTAAAATATAATATTTGGATTAGAGACCAAAGTTGGTCGCTGTTTTATGAATAATAATAAATCAATAAATAATATATTTTACATTTAGAGACCAACTTTGGTCGTCAAAATTTATATTATTAAAATAATAAAGCGACCAAAGATGGTCGCTATAGTCAATACCCGGAATATTTGGTCATTTTACCTTAGAGACCAAAGTTGGTCGCTAATTAGCGACCAACTTTGGTCCCTAAAGTGAAGGGACCAGCAATATAGCGACCAGACATGTTTGGTCGCTTTTTGGTCGCTTTTGGGCCTATAAGCGACCAACTTTGGTCGCTTTTTGTGGTCGCTTTTTACCGGATTTCTAGTAGTGAAATGATAACATCACCACTACCCACATCAGCATTACAACTAATACTAGAGAAATTATTGTTAATAAAAGGTTCAATAATCCACGTAAAGTTAGGTATAGAAAATAAAAAGAAAATGAAGTAGGTAATTAATAAGAGTATAAATCATTATACACTAATACAAGTGTCAAATGTTCCTAGTATTTGAATACAATGATAATTGACTGGCAAGATGTTGTACTTTAGCCTTCATTTATGGATATTAAAACTAGACTAACTTTCAAGTCCGCATGTGAGTAATAATAGATAACATATTTTTTTTTTTTTTTTTGTTTCTCGCCCGGTGTCCGGTACCCGCATTGAAGCCCGACTATATCCAAATTCGTGCTGCGCAGGGTCCCATTTGGGGGAAGCGCTGCCTACCAAGGATTTTTTCATACCCAGAGCTCGAACCCCAGACCTCTGATTAAGAGAGGAGTAGTCTCATCCACTGCACCACATCCTTTGGTAGTGATAACATACTTAATTAAGATACTGATTGAAATTGGGTAGTGTAGGTCCACATCTAACTAAACCTCCTTAGCCGCCTGCCCTTAGTCCACCATTTTATTCGAAACATAAAACATTTAATGGGTGTGGTGATATAGATGAATTTTTTTTGGACAGTATGTGAAATGCTTTGTGCACCAAAATGTCCTTCAAGTAAAGCTTTCAGGTTTGAGTCCTAAATTAGTCGAGTAAATGTATTTTGAATACCATATGCTTATACTAAAACACAACAAGACATACAAAATTTTAAAACCCTTTTTTTTTTTATATATATATTAAAGAGTTGCTTAAAAGAAAAAGGATTTTTGCTAACAGAAAATCTTTGTGCGTCACGTTAACACTGCATGCAAAACTAGATAGTGGAAATCACAACGTGAGAAGTTAAGGTGTAACATCAGTAGCAGTTTGAGCAACTTTCACCTTCCTTTTATGAAATTATTTGTTCAGCACTATAAAGGCAAGTATTACACATATTATTTTCTTATCTTTTCTCATCTCTTTACGTACTTTAATTTTCTCTCTTTAATTAAAAACAAAAAAAAAATATGGACGATCTTGCTTTTATCTTTTCTCATCATAATCGTGAAACGTCAAGAAAACGACTTCACGAAGATGAAAAGGCTGCTGCTTTGGCTTGCATAATTTCTTTCAACACTACTACTATTAGTGGCGGACCCAGAATTTTGTGCAAGCGGGTTCAATCGGAGAAGTCCATAACTAACATAAGCGGTATACGCCGTATAAGCGGGTTCAAAAATAATTTCTATACAAAATTTACCTTGCTTTAGCCATAATTTATACATATACACAGTATTATTTTTTGACGAAGCGGGTTCAGTTGAACCCACTTCTCACCACTTGGGTCCGCCCCTGACTACTACTCCCAACTCATCACAATATTATTCATCAACAAAGGCTGAGGCAAATCAACAACAACAACAAATCCAGTATAATCCCACAGAGTGGAGTCTGAAGAGGGTAATATGTACGGCCGAGGCAAATCCTAGTACTATAAACTTCTCGCCCGGCCTTGTTTATCAAAATGGAGGAACGACAAGAAGTACAGGGGAGCAAGCTCAAGAACACTTATTAGCTGAAAGAAACAGACGACAGAAGATTACTAAGTTGTTTGTGTCCTTAGCTGCTCTTCTTCCTGTCCTCAAGAAGGTATGTACTTCTTGCAAACCCTCAATATTTAATAAAATTTTGTTCAGTGTAAAAATATTTATACGATCAGATCGATTGGAAGGTAAACAAAATTGTATGATAAGCACTAGTTGATGGTTCAAGCCGCGGAAGCGGCCACTAATACTTATATTATAATTAACGTAGACTATCTACATCAAAACTCTTTAGGATGCCGCACTTCCCGGACCCTACGGCAGAATATTTTATCCATCAAACATTAGTTGGTTAACCTGGTAAAGATAATCCCAAGTTAATTTATCCTTTAATGTACAAAATCTTTATATGCACTTCCTTTTTGAAATTTTCTTTTTGTTTCAAGAATTATCTTTGTGTAAGTTTTTTCAAACAGTTTTTGGAAAAAAATGTTTTATAAATAAATGTTATTTTCGAAATAGTTTTAAGGCATTTACCAAAAGAAAAATTTTCCTCCTTTCACAAAAGATTAACAAATCTTCAAAAAAGTTTAGAATTATCCAATCATTTTTTTATTTGTACAAACTCTTTTGCTAGTATTTTTTTTTTTTTTTTTTTAACTTCAAGTTGTCAAAACAGATTCTAAGAAATGCTTGCAAATTGGTTAAACGTGTTTAATTAAATATTGCAAGCGTTGAGAACTCTAGGTGTACGTTACTTATTGGTCTCAAGTATAAGTAAAATTGCTGTGGAACCTGAGACATATGTGGTGCATAAGTTTAGGGGCGAAAGTGCACAAACAATTATTCTTAGGATCGCTAATTAGGGATTAAACAGTATTTATTTTGTTCTATTTAAAATTCAGTGGCTAATTCCGAAATAGCAGTCCTTTAAAATGACTACTTGTTGTTATTTCTACATCTAATAACTTTGGCGCAAACTTGTACACATGTTAAAAGATTTACGAAACAAAAAATATAGATTTTGAACGGTTATTATTTGACATTATTCAATAATATTCAAATTTACTAAATAAAAATTTACTCGAATCAATAATATTCAAATTTTAGATCCACCTCGGTGTAGAACTATATATGACATTATTCAAAACAAGGTGGATTAAAGTATGTTAAAATTATTGTAGATGGACAAGGCCTCAATACTTGAAGGAGCAACCAGTCTAATTAGAAAACTACGTGAAAAAGGTGCAGCTCCTGCAGTGAAGAAGGCAAGAAATTATGAACATCAATCTTCCATTGACATGAGTATTTTACCAGAAATAGAAGTAAGAATTTTAGAAGAGGAGGTGCTAATTACAGTCTACTGCAAGAAGAAATATACAGGAATTATTGATGAAATATTAAGTGTGATTCAGAAGCTTCATCTAACCATCAAAAGCAGCAATTTCTTGACATTTGGCAACACCACAATGCATATCACAATCATTGCTCAGGTCTGATTATTAATATTTCCTAAAACCCTTTTATATCGGGAGCCTTCGAGCAACGGTATAGTTATTTCCGTATGATCTATAAGTCACGTGTTTTATAAGCTGTGGAATCAGCCACTGATATACTTGCATTGGAATATGCTTCCTACATCGCACCCTCTCGGAGTGTGGCCCTTCGGACCCTGCGTGAACACGGAAGCTTCGTGCATCGGGTTGCCTTTTTTTTTTTAATAAAAAAATTCTCTTGTATTTCAGTTTGTTACTTGGTTAGTTGGTTTTAAACTTTAATGTACGTATTTCAACAACAGATTGTCTTGCTGAGAAATTACGACAGACAATACTTAAAACGTTGAGATAATTTGATTTACAGACAAGCTAGCCATGAATCGCAATTTAAAGATGGGAATAATGTGAATAGTAATAATTTAATTGTTTGCATTTTTTATTAAAGGTTGTTGATCGCAGTTAAAATAATAAATCATGTGTTTGGTTATAAATTGGACAAAGTTTTATTTTCAAAAGTACCCTTGGCATATTTATATTGCTTTATCAATATTAATACTGAGCGTTATAAAATAATCTGGAAATCGCGATTACAAATAAAGAACAATTTCAAGAGAAATTTAAATTGAGATATACGAGATAAATGAGTAAGTAAATATTACATTCCTTTTTAAAACATGAAAAATTCATGTTAAAGTACTTGCATTTTTTGTTTAAATCGATGCCATTAATACTATTTACAAACGTATGGAGAAAATAATAGTCATTCCACAATTTTATAATTGTAGTAAACAGAGTCCGTTAGAAATTAGAGTAGGAGGATTATAAAAATTCAATACAATATTGTTTTATGTACTAGGTTGCGTTTAAACAAGACAAATTTAAGTGATAAGTAACATATGATACATAATGTATAGGTCAAAACCTGCCCTAAGGGAATTTAGCATAAATTGACATTAAGGAAAATGATGCGGCCGAGGTCGACTAGTAAAAAAATGGGACTCGTAACCGGACAGTTAACAATGGTCGAGGTCGAGCACCAAGGACAGAGCACTAATGACTAGTTTTTCTAATAAGATATTAAAGAGAATATTTCATTCAATATTCTCTGCACTTGTACTATTAGGGTTGATTAAAGATTGTCTCATATAAATAGAAAAGGAGATAAGGAGAGAAGATATGTAATATTCTTTTGATAAGAATACTTTTTGAGTAGAAAACTCTCTCTCTAGAAAAGATACAAACTCTACCTTTTTACTAAGATTCCATCATCCATTATTTCATACTTTTCCATCATATCCGAGAATGGTTCCAACATACTAGGATTTGTCTGTCGTTCATCACTGTCAGAAAGAAGAATCATCCACCTCATTCGATATTGGGTGAAACATTCTACTTATTTACATAAATATCATTTATTGCTATTTATTGCTTGATGTTCCTCTATTATTGCTCAAATCCTTCTGAATATTAAACAATCACTGTTTAATTCCCCACCAGCATTATCCCACATTTTTCGTACTAATTAGTTCTAAATCTAGAGATATTATTATTAACTAGGTTTAACTCTTTATTACATAAGATTTAATAGTTTAAGTGAAAGTTTATGCTTTTTGGTCAAATAATTTAGCGCCGTTTGTGGGGATTTTCTAGTTAAATTTTTTGTTTCTTCTAGATCTATTACTATCACGGGTTGCTAACAAACAAAAGAACACAAAACAAAACTCATTTTTTCTTATACACACAGATCTGACATGATAGGTAAGGGAGAAGAAAGAATGAGGGTAGTGGCCGACCTCACCACAAATCTCTTGAACATCATCAATGAGGTTTCTGAGACAGAAGGCGAGGACATAACGCCTAATGCCTCTCCCAGGCTAGGCGGGTCGCCTCTCCCTCACGGTAGTATTGCAACATCCCGCGGTAGAGGAGCTTCCACGTCCATGACTGAAGAGACGCCACCAGCGGTGAAAAATCTCCTTTAGGCTTGGCTAACCGACACGCTAACCAACATCCTCCACAAGCCCGCTCAGGATACAGTCATAGAAAATGCGAGGACTTGCGTTGCACTGACTATGGTCGAGCAGTATGACCCTTTACCCCTTCCAATAATAGGTACTACTCATACTGTTAATAATGCAGGTGACGACACCCTCACAACCATTTTGAAAAAGATGGAGAAAATGGAGAACGAGAACAAAATGCTTCGGGTCCAAATGAGAGAGCACCAAGAAAGGTTCGACAAAATACCGGGTGCCCCGAAACTCTTGCCGAAGAGAGATGCCGGTCGGTTTGTCGAGCAACCATACAATGATAAAGCCGCCCCGCATACCATACCAAAAACCTTCAAAATTCCGCCCTATCTGAAAATATATGATGGCACGACCGATCCCGAAGATCATGTAACTTACTATGTCACCACTGTAAAAGGCAATGACCTCGCCAAGTAACAAGTATCCTCCATCTTGTTGAAAAAATTCGGCGATACACTCACCGGAGGAGCATTGACTTGATATTCGCAGCTGCCCGCACGTTCCATCGAAACATTCGAAGAGATGGCTGACAAGTTCGTAACGGCCCATGCTGGAGCAAAAAAGCGGAGGCGAGAGTGAACGATATATTCGCTATCAAACAATCGCCTTGAGAGGTATTGAGGGACTTCCTCGCCCGGTTTAACCGAGTAAGAATGACCTTGCCAAATGTATTGGAGGGAATGGTTGTCGCAGCTTTCCAAATCGGACTGAGCAGGAATGGTTCAAGAGCGACCAGAAAGTTATTGAGCCGACTCATGAAATATCCTCCGACCACTTGGGATGAATTACATAACACAATATTGTGTTGAGGTCCGAGCAGACGAGGACAATCTGAATGGGCCAACCCATCGATTGACCTCGGTACAAGATGAATCCAGGAAATATCAAAGAAATGATATCAGAAGTGACCTCGTATCTCCATGACTCAACTGAGAACGACATCAACCATATGTCAGAAGCACCGTCGCGCCCCACTCCCTCCATGAAGAGGGCTCGCCTAGATCAAAGATAGGAACTTATCGGAACGAGAGAGGTATGCCCCCTTTGTTATCCACTTACAATTTTTGTGTGTCGCTTTCAGAAATAATCTATGCATTAGAGAAGCTCAGACCAAAAGTAAAGCGGCCACAAAAGATGAGGTTTGATCCAAGCACCAGAAAGTCAGACGCACTCTGCGAGTTCCACCAAGAGCGAGGTCATAAAACTAAGGACTGCATCGCCCTAGGGTAGGAGGTCGTAAATATGTTTCGCCAAGGACACGTCAAAGAATTGCTGAGCGACTGGGGGAGGACCAACTTTGCCCGAGGATGTGAACAACATCATGGACCACCAAAACTGCCCTCCCCGACCCCCACCATTCAAATAATCATCTGGGGCGGCGACGACACTTGTATCAACAACATAAAGTTCACCACGACCCATAAGCTCAAACGGTCGATCGCTCACGAACGGTACGACGAATTCGAAGAAAGTATCATCTTCGATAAGTCAGATACCAACGGTTTGATTTTCCCTCATTTTGATGCCCTTGTTATAACTTAAACGAATATTTGATATAGATGTGAGAACCATTATAGTGGACGATGGGAGCGGCGTGTGCATTATCCACCCTCGAGTACTTGCACAAATAAAACTCGAGGATAAGATAGTGCCGCGAAGCATGATGCTAACATGTTTTAACAATGCAGTTGAACGAACATCTAGAGAAATCACACTCCCCATCCTGGCCGGCGGCATTACTTTGGAAACCACATTCAGCATCATGGACCAGGACACGACGTACAATGCCATAATAGGGCGACCATAGATACACGCCATGGGGGTCATCCCCATCCAGCTTGTACCAAGTCATCACTTTTTCAACCCCAAGGGGAATATTTAGCATACGTGAAGAACAACACACATCTCAAGAATGCTACCACATCATCCTAGATTGTATGATCACTCAAGAAATGAAGGGCAAAGCAAAACAAGCATAGCAATTAACAGGGCCGGGGTCGAGCAACGATGAAAGGGAAGACGTCATCAAAGATCCTGAAATGGTAGAAGCCATGGAATCGACCATAGAAGACCTCGAACCCTTTAAACTTGATGACAACGACCACAGCAAAAAAGCTTACATCGACTGCAAGATTCAAGAACCAGGTAAATTCCGTTAATTATTAACTGCTAACGCGGACTTATTTGATTGTTTCCATGCAAATATGCCAGGTATCCCGAAGGAGATCGCTACACACAAACTGAACGTCAAACCCTTTCACCCCTTGGTGAGGCAGATTAGGTGGAAGTTCAATTACTCAATAAATGATGCCGTGCATGAAAAGGTTGAAACATTACTGGAAAAAGTGTGCATTCGGCGTGACCTCAGGAAAATTCTTGGGTTTCCTAGTGTCACAGCGAGTCATCGTGGTCAACCCCGACCAAATCAAAGCTAGAAGGAATAACAGAGCACTTAACCACCAAAAAACAGGTTCAGAGGCTGACTGGACGTATTGACGCCCTGTCGAAATTCATCTCGCGATCATCCAATTGATTCCACAAATTTTTTGGCGTATGATAACTAGGGATTCTAGCCTATTTTATGCTCCTTTTTGCTTAAGTTTTGGATTGAAAGTGTGTACAAGTATTTCTAAAAGCTAACTTATTATTCTTTTTGCAGTGTTTGGTCAAAAAGAGACAAGAAAGTCAAAACCAACTCATAAAGGAGTGAAACCTGCACAAGTTCAACGTTGAGTCAAAAGGGCGTTGACAGCGAAGAAACAGACGCGGACGCGGAGAGTCCACCACTGAGGCGGTCCTGATTACGCTCTCAGCGGTGGCAAGGTTCATAGAATTACATTTTTGGGCTTGCAAGTTACCGCTGCCCGCGGTGAAATTGCATGGCAGCGGTGTCTCTGTCACGGTCGCGATCAAGTTCTCGCCCTCAGCGAAAGTGAGAATCAGAGAACTAAGTCCTAAGCTCAAATTGAAGACCGCAGTCCGCGCTCATATTTCGCGGCTGCGGTTGGAGGAGTGCTAAAGCGGTAGTTTTTCCGCTCCTAGCGGACTCAAGTTCAGAACTAGCTATCAAGAGAAGAACCGTGGTTCGCGCTTGCCTTTGCGCGACCGTGATAGTACAAGCGCTAAGGTGGTCGAGTTTCCGCTGTCAGCGATATCCTCGTAGGGGAAATTTTATCCGAAAAATTTAGCTTTGTATAAATAGTTCTTTTTTAGATTTTTAGGTCATCTGTTGTTTTGGAGAGCACGTGAACAATCAGTTTTTACCTTTTTGAGTAATTTTAGAACATCTTTAGAAATCAATCTTAGATTTTAATCTTGTAATTACTTTTTATG